TAACCTTTTCATCGGTTAACTAATAACTTACAGAATAAGAAATGTGCAAGATTTGTTAGTATATAGTTATCCAAATTCATCATATAATGTATCAAATTAAAGCTCTAGAATTTTAGATATCATATCTAGAATTGGTAAAGAAAATTTTGACCTCTTTAATAAACTGAGTCAAGAGAGATGATTTAAGGTTTTTTTTAGTGAAAGAGACCTTTCGGTAATTTTGTCATAAGGGGCCTTTTGGTAATTTTATAAAGTAATTGAGTATAAATTACCCATTTAATCTAGGGTTCCCGCCTATTGCCATTTATTGAGGGAAAAGGTTTAAAGTTATTATATATTAAACCCCAACCATAAAAGAAAAACCTTGTTGTATATTCTCAAATTAATCTAGCAATTGATTTTTCCTTTGATCCTTTGGTGCTTTCTTGTGGACAAATTCGTGCAATCCTATGCTTTAATTGATTTGTGGAAGGAAAACTAAAGTGATAGAGTCTCCAATGATAGTAGTTCATTAAACCTAGTATAAATTTATTAATTAAATACACATATAATCATAACCTTGATCTTGGGTTTATTGTAATTGGGATTAAATTTTTTGCTTTATATTCTACTATGTAAATCCAATATTTCCTTACACAAGATATGTTAGAATATGTGGTTAATGTTTTTGTCTCGTTACTCAATAACTTAGAGAATAAGAAATGTGCAAGATTAGTTATTTTACATAGTTAACATTTTCTCTAGGTAATTAATAACTTGGAAAATGATAAATGTGTTTGATGAGGGTTTGAGCTTTTTGAAGATAGATGATAGTAGGAAAGTGAAGATTATGCAAGGTATAATGACAAGATTAAGCAATAATATGGCAAGAGGGGCATTGTATATATGTATGTATATACAAGTAAGATGTCCTTCTATTTATACCTAAATAAGCTTCATTAATTATGTCACAAACCATTAAAAGTGAAATTAATAATGTGGCTAGATTATGCGGTTAACACATTATCTCATTAATTAATAACTTTGAGAATAAGAAATGTGCAAGATTTGTTAGAATAAGTGATTAACCTTTTCTCTGGTTTATTAATAACTTAGAGAATAAGAAATGTGCAAGATTAGTCAGACTATGTGGTTAACCTTTTCTTTGGTTAATTAATAACTTAGAGAATAAGAAACATGTTTAATAAGTTTTTGAGCTTTTTAAAGATAGACGAAAATAGGAAAGTGAAGATTATGCAGAGTAATGACTAGATTAAGTAATAATATTGCTAGAGGGCCATTGGATGCATATACAAGTAAGATGTCCTTCTATTTATACCTAAATAAGCCTCATTAATTATGTGACAAACCAATTAAAATGAAATTAATAATGTGATTAAAATATGTGGCTAACCTTTTCACCGGTTAACTAATAACTTACAGAATAAGAAATGTACAAGATTTGTTAGTATATAGTCCTCCAAATTCATCATATAATGTATCAAATTAAAGCTCTAGAATTTTAGATATCATATCTAGAATTGGTAAAGAAAATTTTGATCTCTTTAATAAACCGAGTCAAGAGAGATGATTTAAGGTCTTTTTTAGTGAAAGAGACCTTTAGGTAATTTTGTCATAAGGGGCCTTTTGGTAATTTTATAAAGTAATTGAGTATAAATTACCCATTTAATCTAGGGTTGCCGCCTATTGCTATTTATTGAGGGAAAAGGTTTAAAGCTATTATATATTAAACCACAATCGTAAAAGAAAAACATTGTTGTATATTCTCAAATTAATCTAGCAATTGATTTTTCCTTTGATCCTTTGGTGCTTTCATGTGGACAAATTCGTGCAATCCTGTGCTTTGATTGATTTGTGGAAGGAAAACTAAAGTGATAGAGTATCCAATGATAGTAAGTTCATTAAACCTAGTATAAATTTATTAATTAAATACACATATAATCATAACCTTGATCTTGGGTTTATTGTAATTGGGATTAAATTTTTTGTTTTCTATTCTACTATGTAAATCCAATATTTCCTTACACAAGATTTGTTAGAATATGTGGCTAACGTTTTTATCTTGTTAATCAATAACTTAGAGAATAAGAAATGTGCAAGATTAGTTAGAATATGTAGTTAACATTTTCTCTAGGTAATTAATAACTTGGAGAATAAGAAATGGGTTTGATGAGGGTTTGAGCTTTTTGAAGATAGATGATAGTAGGAAAGTGAAGATTATGCAGAGTATAATGACAAGATTAAGCAATAATATGGCGAGAGGGGCATTGTATGTATGCATATACAAGTAAGATGTCTATCTATTTATACCTAAATAAGCTTCATTAATTATGTCACAAACCATTAAAAGTGCAATTAATAATGTGGCTAGATTATGTGGTTAACACATTATCTCTTTAATTAGTAACTTTGAGAATAAGAAATGGGCAAGATTTGTTAGAATAAGTGATTAACCTTTTCTCTGGTTAATTAATAACTTAGAGAATAAGAAATGTGCAAGATTAATTAGACTATGTGGTTAACCTTTTCTCTGGTTAATTAATAACTTAGAGAATAAGAAACATGTTTAATAAGGTTTTGAGCTTTTAAAAGATAGATGGAAGTAGGAAAATGAAGTTTATGCAGAGTAATGACTAAATCTAAGTAATAATATTGCAAGAGGGCCATTGTATGTATGCATGTACAAGTAAGATTGGTTAGTATATAGTTATCCAAATTCATCATATAATATATCAAATTAAAGCTCTATATTTCTAACTTCCAAAGATTCAAACCGCTCATCAATTAGATTTTTATTGAGTAAGTTATGACCAATTTACTACTAATTATTCAATGAAAATCGAGAAACAAGGGAAACCAAAATGTGTGTAATAATAATAGGAATGGTTCAGAAGTGGGGCTACATTCATATAAATTAAGCATTTTACATACCAAATTAAATCCTTATATGTCTAGTTTCTAAATATTTAAACCTCTCATCAATTCGAGTTTTATTATGCAAGTTATGGTCAACTTACTATTAACTGTTCAATAGAAATCGAAATGTGTGATGATAAAATGAATTATTCAGCAATGGGGCTACAATTATCCAAATTAAGCCTGTGATATACCAAATTAAATTCCTGTATGTCTAGTTTCTAAATATTCAAACCTATAATCAATTGGAGTTTTATTGAACAAGTTATGGTCAATTTACTACTGACTGTTTAGTGGAAACCGAAATGTGTGTGATGATAAAAGAAATGGTTCGGAAGTAGGGCTACAATTATCCAAATTAAATGTATAATCTATAAAATTAAATCTCTATTTGTCTAGTTTTCAAATATTCAAATCTCTTATTAATTAGATTTTTATTAAGCAAGTTATGGCTAATTTACTGCTAACTGTTAAGTGAAAATCGAGAAACTAGAGAAACCAAAATGTGTATGATGATAAAAGAAATAGTTCAGAAGGGGGGCTATAATTATCCAAATTAAGTGTATAATATATTAAATTGAATCCATGTTTATGTAGTTTCTAAATATTCAAATCTCTCATCAATTAGATTTTTATTGTGTAAGTTATAGTCAATTTACTACTGACTATTTAATAAAGGCCGAAATGTGCGTGATGATAAAAGGAATGGTTCGGCAGCAGAGGCAATAGTTATCAAAATTAAAAATACAATTTATCAAATAAAAGATATGTCTATCTAGTTTTTAAAGATTCAATCCTCTCTTCAATTACATTTTTATTGAGTAAGTTATGGTCAATTTACTGTTGATTGTTTAGTGGAAACCAAAATGTGTGTGACGATAAAATGAATGGTTTACTTAACCCAAATTTAAGGGATTATCATATTAGAACTGATAAGAAATATTTCAAATAACACCTATTAATTGGAAAATGGAATCAACCAAAATTTATTCATTTAACATATATACTCACACATCAACAGGACATAAACAATAAATCATTCATATAACAAATTAAAATACACAAATATTTTTACAGAAAACATATTTAACACAATTGAGTTGTTTCTATTAATATAGATATGACATACTCTGAGTTCGGCTAACAATAGGATCATCTATCACTACAAGAAATTTAACATTTAGGGACAAATTTTTGTCACAGAAAGTGGAATATTCGTCCTCAAAAGTAATGCGGGACGACAGACCAAATCGTCCCCAAAGCTACGTTGCCAAAGGGTAACACCCACGGAAAAACCAATCGTCCCCAAAGCCACGTCATTGGGGACAAAATACAGTTTCGTCACTAAAGATTATTTATTTTGCGATGAAATTTTTCGTTCACAAAAAAAAACTATTTGTCCCAAATAATGTCATTTCGTCCCTAAAAAATGCACAATTGAGGACAAAATCTTTTCGTCCTCAATTGGGTAGATAATTTGGGACATTTTTTTTCGTCATTGTCTGTGTGGCAAATTAGGGACAAAAATTATCGTCCTAGATGGTGTGGTGAATTGGGCACATAGATTTTTCATCCCCAATGGAATGGTGAATTAGGGACGAAAATTCCCGTCCCTCGTGCTATAGTGAATTGGGGATGAAGATTTTCGTCCCTGATGGTTGGTGAATTAGGGACAAAAATTTTCATCCCTGATTGTGTCAATATTTAGGGACAAAAATTTTTGTCCCTGACGAAAATTTCCGTCCTTTCTTTTATTATGAATTGCAACGAGAATTTGTTCCTGATTGAAAATTAACAAATGTATTGATTCTCAAAGTAAAAAAATTCATAAGAAACATCTTTTTAACTAAGTAAAAAATATTACTTAATATCAAATTGATACTACTACAAATCAACAAATAACCAAGTAATAAGAAAATATTTTATATATATATATATAAGCCAATAGTATCATAAACACATCCAACTATAACTAACATATAAACAATAGTATAAAATAACTAAACTTTCTTTGTTAGTTGGATGTCAAAATATATACTATATTCTTCACTACTTGGATGTCAATAAAGGTATTACTCCGATAGTAGTAGTTGCATGTCAAAAGAAGCAAAAAACCGAATTGCTGAAGCTGCTGGATGTCTAGGTATACGCATGTCAAACAAGTCTGCAACAATCATTATTAACAATTACTCAACTATATATTTGTCTAAAGTTTGTAAGATAAAGTTAACATAAAACATTAGCGAGACATCTTCAACTGAATTAAGTGAAACAATTGTACCCCTATTTGATGCATGAGAAGGACTAGTTGCAGATTTCCCCTTAGCCTTAGAGTGGCGGCATAAAACTGAAACCATCTTCTACAATAAAGTACCTGTCACAACAAAAACATATTAATCTATTATAAGATGCAAAATAACATAAACTATATAGACATGTAATCAAAATGTAAAAAATCATTAAATTACATTACCAAATTCATGTATCGGACTCTGTATCATTATCATCACAATAATTGACTTCATCATTATAATAATTTGATAGTGTGTCATTTTCATCATCACTATCATCATAAATGAACTCATCTTCTTGCAAATTTGTTTTCTTACTTACTATATTGGCTTCCAAAATTTCTGGATCTATATAACCTCTCAACAGTAAACCAAAAAAATTAAAGACGTTGCTGGTGAGTTGCTTCTCCCAATTTGTGCTGCCACAACAATTGCCCGACCTCTAACTACTTTCTTTTTCCTCTTTTTAATTTGTTATTTCTTTTTACTCCTTGTTTGCTTCATTATAGTTGGTCTTGGAAACAACTGTACTCCCACTATTACTCTTCTAATTCCCATTAATACTCTCTTACCCACCTACTCTATCTCTACTCACTCAACAATCTTATACCTCTCTAATTATGTTTCTGCTATAATTCTAGTGACAAAAAAGACTACAAGGTGTCAAATATGACAACTCTAAGAATTTCAGAGTGGTCACCCTGAGATATTCATTATCACTTCTAACCGCCTTCATTCAACAGTGTATAATGAAAATGTAGGGACATTTGATGATAATTAAAACTTTGTATGCATATATCTCAACCAGTTTGACAAATATTGAAAAGTTTCACACTCTAAAGGCAGTCAATTACCTGTTATTGCAGCATAACATCAAACATCTGTGCTGCACTTTCTCCAATGTCAGGACTACGTCAATTCAAATTCTAGTCCATTCATAAGTTTCATTAATCACAAACAAATTCTCTAATTTGATGAATACTTAAAAGGCAATTTACATTGTTCTCATGATCCCTTTCCTATTTTCTGGTTTCAAATTTGACACTAAAAACATGACTAGTTTAACAACTTGTTACACTGAAAATTTAACTTTTAACTTATAACTAATTCTAAGAAATTCAACTAAAAACAAAAACGCATTCATACAAACTTAAATTTAACCAAAACTAATTTCCATTTTTACTGCCAAAAAGAGAAACTCACAACATATCAATCACCAGAACCCACTAAATCAAAAGCCATAATTCAAAACATGAAAGATCCCTGATAATTTCAACCACCACCCAACACCAATTTCAACACAAAGAAAAAAAAATGGGTTCATGCCTGTCAAATAAAATCCGCATTCAAACAGTCCAAACAAACTCAAATCAGAAAAACTCAATCACCAGAACAGACAACCAAAAAACCAAATTGAAACAAACCCATATCATAATTTAAAGGCATTAAATGAAATCCACATTTAAACATCATCAAAGCATACCCACATTCAAACAATTTCACAAGAACTCAATTTAATGAAAATCAAACCCACCAAAACAAGTAACCAAAAAACAAAATTGAAACCCTAAATTGCGCAATCGATTCAATTCAAGAATGAAAATTTTATAAAATTACATACCTGAATCTGAGCTGATTCCTAGAATTTCCAAATTTGAGCTGAAATAGCAAGAACGGAGTCGCCTAAAATGGAGTGAAGATTCAAACTCTAAATAGAGTTCGCGCTTTGAAGTTGAAATTTGAGAGAAATTGCGAAAATCTAATGTACAATAAGACTGAATTGAGATAAGTAACAATGGAAAAGGAAGTTTGCAGCTGAAATTTTGGTGAAGAACATTATATTGCTAAATAGAGTGAAGAAAATACGAAGAAGGGTGAGATTTTGGGAAATTTTGGGAGATTTTGGGTTGGCGGGTATTAGGTGTTAGTGAATGAAATTTAGGGAAATTTTGAGTTGGCGCTTGGTGTTTTTTTCGGGGTTAATATTCGGGTGTATAATAATATTTTGTGTTATTATACTTCAATTATATTGTAACATTATTTTAAAGCTACTGTATTATTGGGTCTACAATAATACTTTAAATGTATTATTGAAGATATATATTAATAACATTTTAAAAAAAAAAAAGTTATCATTGATAAATAATATGTTATAAAAGGATAAAGTGATATTTATCAAAATTAATATTATAACATTTTCATAATAAAAGTTACCAAAGATACTATTTAAGAACATATTAAAGATAAGTGTTATTGTCCAATATTACTATAGGTTATTTATTTTCTAATGGTTGTAAGTATAATAATTTAATTTTTTGTTGCGCTCGGCACGCATTAGCAATTTATGAATTTTATTGTGTAATTTGTATTTAGTTTGAATTTGATTTGTATTCTTTTATCATTAAAGCCGAAAATGGTACATAATATTTACATTTATAAAATTATTAATAACTTTGTATTTTTACAATTTTTTGGCCTTTTCAAGATTTTAAAAATAAAAGTCATAATTTAACAACAAATTAGGAACTGAAATTTGGGGACAAATATTTACAACGGATTGAAATGTGTTGCTACGATTTTACAAACATATATTTTTTTTTCATCCCTAATTTGTTGGTAATTTGTTTTAGAACAGATTTCTTTGATCTAGTTGGACATAGCAACACCCGACCCGCCCCTGATCACCCCTCAATCTCGACCAATTTCCTAGCCCCTGACCTTGTACCCGATCCTATGCATTAATTAGTTTTTTCTAGTGACATATATGATAAAATTATGTTATTACTAAAAACTTGAGAGGAATGACAAATAGTTATACGCATATTAATTATATTTTTGTCACAAAATATTGCATTTAATTTGACTCAAATATTTTGTCACTAATACCTCAATTTTAACATTTATAAATGATTTTTTTTTTTTTTTTTTTTGTAATGATAAATAATTCTTTGGTGACAAATTACTTAGTAATTATAGCATGTATTACTAAATATAGTGAATAAAGTTTCTGATGACAAATATGTTTGTCACGATAAACAATTTTTCTCGACACTTAAATTTTAATTCAAACATTTTATCATTAATACCTCTGTTTCAGTATATATTATGACAATATATTTTTTTTTTTTTTGTAATAATAAATAAAATTTTTTGTGACAAAATAATTTGTAACTATAACATGTATAACTAAATTTAGTGACTAAAATGTTTTATGACAAAATATGTTTGTCACAATAAATAATTTACCTAGGCGCCAAAATTTGGTGCCAAAAATTTATGACGAAATATTATGATAAAAATGTTTTTCTTCACTATATTTCTTATGGGTTTCTTTATTGTGATAAAATATTATGATAATATTTTTTTTAGTCACTGTATATTCTCTTTGTCATACTTAATGTGATGTTTCTTTATTTTTTCATAATACATATATTACTCGTGACAAAATAGCATTTGATAAAAGTAATTTTGTCACAATATAATATATTTCTTGTAGTGTGGGATGACCATGAGTTCCAAATTTCGTCCTCAAAAATTCATTTTTCACAATCTATGACAAAATCATATTTCGTCCCTAATAAGTGTTCCAAATTGTGTACAATTAAAGACAAAAACATTTCGTCGCAGAAGAAAAAAGGTTTTAGTTACAAATTTTTCGTCCAAAAAAAATAAATTTTGTCCCTAAAAATGTATTTTTACAATCAATGACAAAATCATATTTCATCCCCAATAAGTTTTCCAAATTGTATACAATTAAAGACAAAAAAATTCGTCTCAGAAAAGGAAGCTGTTTAGCTACAAAATGTTTCATCTAGAAATAATAAATTTCGTCCCAGAATGATTTCCCTCCATATTATTTTGATCCTTCCCTCCAAATGGCATTGTTGGTGTGGGCGGAGATTGAGTGCTAAATATTTTGTTAAGAAATTATAATTTCGTCCCCTAAGATAACCATTTTGGGACGAAACTGTCTTCGTCCCTAAATGTTAAATTTCTGGTAGTGCATGATTTGATCTTAGTAAAGTACATGAACATTTCCTCGAAAACAAACATAACAAAATTTAGTCAATCTTCATGTTAAGATTCGTTAAGGAATAATTATTCATTCGTATAACAATTGTTACCTAAAAACGAAATCAACAAATTTTAATTAATCTTCATATTAAAATTGTTAAGGAATACACTTACCGTTCAGCAAGACTAACACAATTAATCATTCAAATACAATGACTGAACAAAAACAATCATTCAATCAAATAATAACCGTTAAAATAGTTAAGAGATATACTTACAATTTTATACTAAAATAGTTAGAAGATATGCTTACAGTTTAGAAGAACGAATCAAAATAAAAACTCATTTGACAATGTCGATCAAACATCGTGCCTTTATTCCATGCAAATTCAAGAATCTTTGACCGGTAAACAACAACAACAAAATAAAAATAAATAAAAAATCATCTATTAATAAAATCATGAAGAACAAATGTATTATTGACACAAACTAACATGACTTATAAATAATTAACAAAAGACCAGACGTATTGTTAACACCAACTAACTATTATGATAATACACAATTGAACATATGCCCCTTTTATACCCTTATTTAGACCTTTCAAATGCTAACATAATTAAATACAAAAAAGGTTTGTAATATCAAAACAATGCACCTATATAATTATTAATAAACATGTATGTTTTTACTACCAATGCAATACACCTATGTAATCCAATCTTTATGTCTATTTATTTAGACTTTGGAATACCAATGTAACAATTAATATTGTCTAAATAATCATCAATAAAATTCAACCATATGACAATCACAAATCCAAGGTGTCCTTATGATTAGACCTTTAGAATGTGAGTGCAATGCACTTATATAATTGGTATTCTTATTAATTATTAATACAACAATGTAATGCACCTATATAATCTAATCTTCATGTCTATTTATTTAGACTTTGGAATACCAATACAGCAATTAACATTGTCTACATCATCACCAATAAAATTCAACTATATGACAATCACAAATGTAAGGTATCATTATGGTTAGACATTTAGAATGTCAATGCAATGCCCCTATATAATTAGAATTGTTCTAATTTTTTAATTAATTAATAATTATAGATGGAGCAATAAATACCAATACAACATGTCAAGATTGAGCAATTTGACTGGCTTGTCAATTCAATGTGTCAAAATAGAGCAATTATAGAGCTTCCAAAATGTGGCACATGGCGAATAAACCGCATGGGTATTCAGCTTTATATATATATATTGATTTTATATGTGTGATGATAAAATGAATGATTTAGTTGTAAGTCTATAGTTATCAAAATTCATCATGTAATATATCAAATTAAAGCTCTATCTTTCTAATTTCTAAAGATTCAAACCGCTCATAATTGGATTTTTATTGAGTAAGTTATGACTAATTTACTACTGATTATTAAGTGGAAATCGAGAAACAAGGGAAACCAAAATATGTGTAATGATAAAAGGAATGGTTCGAAAGTGGGTCTACATTTATCCAAATTAAACATGTAATATACCAAATTAAATCTCTATATGTCTAGTTTCTAAAGATTCAAATCTCTTATCAATTGGAGTTTTATTGTGCAAGTTATGGTCAATTTACTACCTACTGTTTAGTGGAAACTAAAATATTTGTGATGATAAAAGAAATGGTTTGGCAGTGATGCTACAATTATCCAAATTAAGAGTATAATATATCATATTAAAGCCCCATCTGTCTAATTTTCAACGATTCAAACCCTATCAATTGGATTTTTATTAAGCAAGTTATGACTAATGTATTATTGACTGTTCAGTGGAAATCAAGAAACAGGAAAAACTGAAATGTGTGTGATAATAAAAAGAATGATTTGTGGGAGAGGTCTAAAGATAAAGAGAATTTGAGAAGAAAAATAGAGGCAATTGTAACCTCTTGACTGAATTGCTTAACAATTTCTTAGCTGGAGTATAGGTGCTTATATACAAGTTCAGTCAATGAGCTGAACTGGAAGCTACATCGTTTACATAAGATATAGGTCCTTAAGCTATGTCATTTTATATGAAGTGCAGCCAACTTCTTCTAGCTTTCATCCTTGACATTTTAACCCAGCTACTTTGCATAGTCAATATTCCCGTTCAAACTAAACCGTGTATCTTCCAGCACTATCTTCCAGGACTTTATTGATCAACTGCATAGTCAATATTCCCCCTCAAATCAAACTGTACTTTAACTCTATACATCTGATGTTAAACTGCATTGTAACTCTGCACTAGACTACATTTAACTCTGCACTAACACTGCACATCTAATGTTGGACAACATTTTAACTCTGCATATCTAATGCTACATTTTAGATTGCACTACAACACATCTTCAACTATTCAGTACAAGAATCAACCATTCAAGACACCAATGTAATGAGTTTTGCAGGTCTGATGTTACCTGCAGTCTGCATGTAAATTTCAGCACAATTTACTTAGTAAGCAGACTTTCAATTATTCAGTATACCAACTACACCATCAACAAAACCATAGTGGCTAAGTATTTTTTTTCTGGAGACTACATTACAACACATCTTCAACTATTCAGTATAAGAATCAACAATTCAGAAACCAATGTAATGAGTTTTGCAGGTCTGATGTTACCTGCAGTCTGCTTGTAAATTTCAGCACATGTTACCTAGTAAGCAGACTCTTAATTATTCAGTATACCAACTACACCATCAACAAAACCGCAGTGGCTAAGTATTTTTCCTGAAGACTTGAAACATATTCAACATCAACAAAGATACTGATACAACACGCGAAGTGCGGGTGTACAAGAAGCGTGGGAAGGAGCACCAGGGGATCAATAATATTAAAAGAAGCAACTAAAGTGTGAATTGAAGGTAGTGGGACAGGTGGTGAAAGATTACTGGAGGAAG